ATGATGTACACCGGATAATATTTTAGTTCGATGATAAAGTTTTGCTAAACCCAATTGGTGCCTATCATTTAAATGATAAAATAGATGAGAGAATTTATCACGTAAAAGAACGAAGAGTAATACTACGCATATTTGACATATGAGAATACTGCCTTTTACATAAACCTTATCTTTGTAAACATTAATAACTGATAATCTAATTGCCAATTATTTTCGTTAAAATCTTTTCTTCAAATGTATTCAAAATTAAAATTGAAGAAATTCTTCGCAAAACGTACGTCGGTTTAGCGTCAGCAAAATCTGTTGGAAAAAAGTAGCTGACGAAAGCAACACGACATGCTTCAGCCCATGGGCCATACGCAATAGCAACATTGTCGCCAAAATCCACATTTAGATCGCAAATTGGTTCCGATGACGGATCGGCTAAAGAAAGATTTCAAGAGTAATTTCAACTTTACCAACTTGTATTTAATAAATTTAAGTTTCCTTTTTCTTCCAATTTAAATACGCTGCAAAACAAACATCATACTACTTATATTAAATACTGTTCAAAAATGTGTGAAAAAAAAGAAGCTATATCGCATTAAGAAGTCGTTGGTGTTTTCTATCGATCTAAGAAATGATCGCATTACAGATCAAATGTAAGCTATCTATGGTAAACTTTAAAAAGATACATAATTCTGGTATATTTAAAGGCAGTGGAATTAAATTGGATCTATTAAATGGTTGGCAGGAAATTTGCAAAATTTAGTTTTGAAAATAAAATTTAATAATACCAAAAATACTTTCGCGATATACAGCTTTCAGTGTAGCATTCTGAAGAACTTTAAAACCACTTCCCATTGTTCGAGGTGCTTTGTATCGTTTCCACAGATTACATGGATCATTTTCATCGTATTCTTCGTTATTATTTAAAGAAATCGAGAAGTTCGAACCATTAATGGAGCATACCAATAGCTTAGCACTGTTCAGTTGTTCCAGTTGTGCAGTAACTACAAATTTTTTCTCTTCTTAATATGATAGAAAAGGCATTTTTTTCCAGAATTACCCCCGAATATTCTGATTCTATTTTTTTGTGATATAATTTGGAATGAGATGATAATCTAGAATAGAATATGCAGAAATAAAATTTTCATAATTTAAGGGAAGTAATTAGTTGACTGCGCGCTTAGGAAAACATCAATTTTCATAAATGAGTGTAAAAAGTGACAAGAGTTTCATTTGAAACATTTCATTTGAAAATTAAATTTATATATGTATATAAGAGAAATACAGATTTTTGTTCCCTAATTGATTAAAAGCCAACAAAATTAACTATTTATTCCGTTTGCTGTGTAGATATTCATGTAATGAATGGATTATTTGACGAGTGTAATTCAGATTCTAATCAATCAATTCCAATATTAAAATCAGAATGCTTCTAATCACTGTTTCATATTTTTCAGCAATTATGTGGTAGAACAATTCAACACTTGAAAGAAATGATTATATTACATATTAAGGAATGTTTTCACGAATACACGTTATTGCTACGTATGATCCATCTGTTATCATATAGATTTTTATGAACGCTAAAACTTATGTATGCAAATATAGCAATTCTGTTTAGCATAGCAAATATTTAATATAAAATTAAAACTGTCAGTTAGCTTACATAATGTTTTGTGCGAAAAAATGACAAGTGTAGTGGGTAGTAAACGATTTCCAATATACACGCGGACATTTTTGATAGATATACGTATTGTGCAGACAAACGCCCAAAAATCTTTTAGAAATTTATCATTCTTCCCTGAAACACAGTAATTTATTATTCTTCAGTATTGTTTCTTGAATATATTATCAACTTATATCCCCTTAACTTACCAAAACATGTTATCTTTCATTATCATTATCCCCTAAAAATGTATTTTATCATCTTATAAAATAAACTTGTTTTTTCCTGGCATATGGATGGATTGCCGCTTGAGAAAATTTCGATTTCAATTTCCATTGAGTAATTTCGTAAAGAAACTCTTTTTCAAAATTACAAGTCATAGTTGAACAAAAAGTTAGGATCTTATTGATCAAAGCATAAATTTAATTAACTTCATCCACACAATTTGAAAATTCATAAATAAAATCATTTGAATGAACTTTCACATTTCAACCCTCAAATTGTGCCCAGTTTCAAAAGTTAAGAAATGACTTAATCATAGAAGGACCACAGGAAATAGCACACTTGGCATAAAAAGCGAAAACAATGAAAAGCAAATTTGATTCACTCTAAATCTAACAAACACCGATTTTTCATCCCTTTTTTACCGCATTTCTCAGATTTATATATATAACTGATTAAATTAAGCGGCTATATTGCACTTAATAACTATAAATTTGGTACCACGAAAAATGATACGTGGCATTTTATGTAAGTTAAGAATAGATTTTTCTTAAGCATGCTAAAAATGATAGTCTAATTTTGCTAAACTACGCAGACTTCTTAAAATCAGTATGAAGATGAATTTAATAATACTCGTAACATCTTCGTTTGGATGCAAAGTTCCATCGGTATGCTGTTGGTGGTGTAAAATTGTTGTGAAAAGTTTTTCAAATTTAGGATCTTTCTTTAACTTCCGATATGCTTCCAAACGATTGTATATGTGAATGCGTAATCCATTCAACGTCAGTTGTAAACGACCTTTTAAACTGAAATTCCGAAATCTGGAAAACATTTCGGACGTTTCAATTTTCTGTAATGATAAAAAAGCAGCTCAGTCTTTTATTGCATTTAATCACTTGCTAAAACACAATAATTTAATAAACATAATTAAATAATTTTTCTTGGAACACAGCAAGTTTGGTTAAGTCTAAATTTAACAAATTTAGTTCAAGCTTAATAGAACCTAATTGATCGAAAAAACAAACTCTCGAGTATAAAGATCCACCAATCTGATATATCGCCAATAGGAGAAGATAAAATAGCCATCATTACAATAAATAGCATAATCTTCACATATAAATGTGAAGTGGCGAAACATTACCTTTCCGGATAGCAAACAGATCGACAATGAACCTTAAACGGAGAAGCTGCGAAAGAAGAAAAAGAAGAGAATATTTCTCGATCTAAATAAAATTAAATCTATGTTATATTTAAAAATTATTTTGAAAAGAAAGAATAACAAAATTAAACAACTGAATTCAATCACAATCCAGTTACTGCAAAATAATAGTCCAATTCCAGATTAAAATGTGAAATTGGTTTAAAAGAGGTTTTGAGCATAAAATGTGTACAAGTTAAACTGAAATCCCTAGAAGTAAAATTGAAATTTCTGCTGAATAAAATGACCATGAATAAATTATACAAAGAAGATCTGCGTGATTTTCTGATCACATAAAACTAACCTAATTTCAAGATGCACTTCCATCCACGTTTCCGAGCTATATATGACAAAATAAGCGCAGCAACAGGTCCCACAACACGTGACATGTAGAAGGTCAAAAAAATTATCCAACAGCAAAAAAGGATAAGAAAAATAACGCTTTGACCTGACACATTTACAAAATTCTGAAAGGTGAAGCACTCAAAAGTAATGTAGAACAGACAAAATGAAAAAAACGCATGAGATGAAACTGAGAAGAAATCAGAAATTGGGTAGAAAATTGGAAGTTTGGTAGAAACGAGAAATGGAACTGATATTATATTTCAGGTGGGGACAGAAAAGCTATTTTTCACTTCTGTATAAGTAGTGCAGAAATAGCATCATTCAAAGGAGGACAGATTAATTTATGAAAGAATGAGAGAATTAAAGTAGAATTAAGCGAAACAAAATGAATATTTAGAAGAAACGGAAACATAAAAATTAAAATTAGAAAAGAACTGAAAAGCTAACAAAACAGTAATTTAGGGAAAAAATTAGAATCATGAAAGTTTCAAAAATAGAATGAAACAAAAACGAACGATATTTGAAATCCATTCTCTTATTATATCAATCATAGCGCGACAAGAAGATAAAAGTGATATCTTTGAATGAAACTTTCGAAAATTGAACAGCAAAATTAAATCGACACACCAGAAAACAAGAAAATGGAAGAATAAGCGTGAAATGATGTAGCAGCCACTTTTATACTAATTATAATAAATTCTTACGAGCAAACAGAAAGTTTTATTAGAAATTTTATGGCAAAGTGGTTGCATTATTATTAATAATTATAATAGTAGCAGTAGATTTTTGATTTGACTCAAAAAATTTAAATTCGAAATGAATTTATTAAGTTTAGGAGTAGTTTTAGCAACACAAGTATCCGATAGGGAAAAAAATTTTCAGGCTTTCAGTGATCTAGATATGAAATTTCCTAATTTGTACAATGCTGAGATTACTATTTTCATTCTCACTGGTCAGAAAACATTTTCACAGTTTTCCAAGGAGCTTTGCATTTCTTGTATTATCTTGGTTCCAAAATTTCCCTTGTTCAATGACCGGCTAAATGAATAGAGATGAGGACGTGCTGCAGAGATCGTAAAATAAGCTTAGATTTTGAGATGTTGCAGAGATTAAAGGCGTTTAAGCTTAGACGAGATAATATGGTATTGGGAGTAGAGCAAAGATTGATAATATTTTTAAGACAGTACGGTATTGAAGAATGGAAATGGAGAAAATAGAAATTGCGGATATTCGTAAAATGCTATCTCTATAAGAAAGATAATGGATTGGTGATAGTGGATTCATGAGATAATATTCTATTGAAGGAATAAAGGAAGAAGACTAGGATAATAATATTAGTAATATGGCATGGTACCAGAGATTAAAAACAAGTTAAAGGTAAAAGGATTGATGGTATACGTGGATATCCGTGACAACTGTGAAAGCATTAGAATGGTTAAAAGATTTTGTAGATATTTAAAAAACGAATGATAGAATTATTTGAACCTTTAGTGACCCTTTATTTGGGAATAATTTTTGGAAGATAAATTTAATTTTGACGAATATTGCTTTTATTTTGATGTGAAAGTGAATGTTTCAGGTATGGGTATTCAGGGATTATGGCATGTACTGGAACCGGTAGCTGAACCGGTGACTTTGGAGTCCCTCGAAGGGAAACGCCTTGCAATTGGTTCGTTTCTTTATTTTGATTTCTGTGGGTTTTAAAATTTGCAGGATATTTCAAATTATGTTAAATAACGAAGATATTAAAGATTAATTGCTTAATTGTTATACTTTGGAAGGCTGGTTTTTCTTTTTATTGGTACTTTATCAAAATTCGCAAATAGCACAAATACGTAGGACTTTGTTAATGGCCTTGCATAATGCAATATCTTCGTGAAATACTGTACAATATTGTAAAACTTTTACGGAATTTGTGGTTCATAGATAATTCAGATAATATATAGTAGGGAATAGAATACAATGTAGCAGAGAATAAAATACAATGCTTCCATAGATAGTAGAGAATAAAATACAATGCTTCCTCAATTATCTATTATGATCATTATGCAGGAATTTCCCCGGTTGTTACAGATATTTCAATCTGGCTTCATCAAGCAGCCTATGGTTACTCGGAACATCAGCTGAATGCGAAGTGTCCGCATTTGTCACTAGTGCTACGACGTCTCGCGAAACTTCTATTTTACAAAATACGACCTCTGTTTGTTTTCGATGGACCAAATGTGCCTATATTCAAAAGGAAATTACTGGTATTTTTTTGCCAATATTAAACATTCTAAAAGTTCCAGCTTCGGAGAATGTTGTGTTTTCTTTTAAAAAATCGTAGATTGATGACTAAAATGTTTTTAACTTCGAGGTTTTTTTCTCAAGAAACCTTTAAGGTTTCTGAAAGTGTATTTGTTCAAGGAAAAATATTTGGATTGTCATAGCTAAATGAATTTATGCTATTGGATCAGTTTTCGATGGATAGATTGTTTATCAAAAAAGGGATTTTAGCGTGATCGACAAGTGAAACGCTATGTGGAAGAACTAACAATGACCAAGGCGCAGAAACATGTCCTACAACAGCTAGCCTCTTCACAGCTACGTCTGTATTCTTTCTTGTCTAGAAGAACAATAACATCGGGAAAGGAAAGAAAGAAGATATAGGATGTAGTCTGCATTGCATACATTGTTTCGATGTCATTTCACTTTTATCTGTCTTAGCTACTAGGTGTAAGTTCAAGCATATGCAAGGATATTAATAGCATAAGCAACGGCATTGCCATGAGTAATAGATAAAGTGGTTGCTCAGGTGTAGGGAATCCTTCCAAACTAAACTTGGCACCTTTAGCATTTCATTGGACGGTTCCTAAACTTCATTTTTTCGTTGAAAACAATCAAAATCTCCCTTTGAAATTATGTAAGCCGTTTATTGCGGAATATTTCTTCAGACGGTGGAGAACAGCGGTTAGATGAACTAAGTGAGGTATTTGCTACACAAACAAAAAAACGCCGAGATGATGATTTATTCGATATGTCGGTTCCGTCAACGTTAAAGGACGAAATGTGCGTTAGAATTGTCTTCGAACATTATAAAAAAATTTCGCGTCACTTATGTATACCAGATATTTGAATCCTGAAGATGCTTGATATTCACTTTGACACTTTTTCATGTTAGATATTCAATTTGAGAACTTCTCTTCATTAGGGCAATTTATAGGATGAAATGGGCCTTGGCGGCTATCCCTTCTGTTCTAAATGTGTTTCACAATCCTATATGAAGTTAAGTCTTTCGTGCCAGATTCATCAGTCCCCTTTAATGTTAGCTAAATGATATATATAAAGCAAAAAAAGTAGGAAAACAGAAGTGGTGTTTACTTCGGTATATGACGACACTGCCTAGTTTCTTTTTGTAATTGTTTGGTAAAGCATGGCACAAAGATTTTGTTCATTTTATAAGCTATATAATCTAAAATTCAGTTCTGATATTAAGGAAAATGATGAAATGTTTTGCCTTTTATATATGAGAGAGGAAAAAAATATTAAAATCAATTTTAGAAAACACAAAAATATGTCGAATGAGGAAACTCCGATGACATATTCCTCTTTTGAATCATCACGGTCGCCTGAATTCGATCAAGCTGAATTTGAGAGTCTAACCACTCGCGATGAACGAGTTGAATATTTGTTGGCTGTACGGGACAAAGTTAGAGGTCTTAAATTAAAAGAGGTAAAATATTTTTATTTAAAGTTTGTAGATTTTTGCGTTTGCTAAATTCTTTATTACTTCTGAAAAAGGGGATTTCAGGTTCCAGATGACTTAGAAGCTTTTAGTAATTTGCAAATTGGCAGGCTGATGAAAAGAAATGAGATAAATGAACAGCTTCAGTTGGTAAGATTTTTCTTTATTCCCGAAATTCAGTTTTTTTTTTTTAATTCTGTCTAAATATGTTTATTTTATATTTCAGTCGTTGTACGGCACTTTTATATCTATGCCGGCTGGCTCTTAAATTCACTCAATATTGTATCGATGCTGATTTTTCTTTGTCTTTTGCGGTTTAAAATATACTCAGTATATTTTACCTTTTTTCAAGTTGAAAAATGAAGCTTTGAAGCAAAGAGTGTTTTCGGCGGATGTGAAGCACGGTTGTTCGAGTAATAACATCAAGTTGGCAGCAATGGAAGGCTTGAACAGAGTGCATATAATAACAGATGACAACGAAGTGCAAATAGTATCTTTAACGAAATTTTCTTTTGAATACGAGAATACGAATATGCTTTAATATATGCAAAACCTTCCATTTCTCATTATTTTATTCTCGATAACATTGAGGCTTTAAAGGACGCTTCATAAAGCTGTAGGAGCTCATGGATGAGTTTTAGTTGATCTAGTGGCGAATTTTAATCAAGGTTCCGTCTTGTTTTTATATAGTTTCTTGAGAGTCAGCTTAGTCATATTGTATTGTCGGTGACAGCACAATCTAAGTATTCATCCTGCCAGAAAGGCAAGCTAGTGATTAAATGTATTCTTTTGAAATAAGTTCAAATTATCCGATGTTTTCAGATTGACGACGAAAAAGAGGCGAAGAAGAAAAATTTAATGGACTCACTAGCTTGGCCAGCATTCTTGGAAAAAATTAAAGAAGAAGAAGATAATGGGAAGGCGAAAAAAGTTTTTCCTTCTTGCGTGGTGTGTAAATTTATGTTTTTTTCTGGTTCGTTTTCTAAAGCACTGAACCTTTATTTGTTGTTATCCTATCATCAATATTCCTTTAGGACAGAAATGGTAGGATTCTGACTTTAAAAACCTTTTCATAGTATTGAAGTACTTGTTTTACTTATAAAAAATTAGTTGTATTGGTTGTCGTCTAGTTGGGAGGAAGTTTGTGCGAGATTGTTTTCATTTCGTTATTACTTAGAGTACCATATATGTACTAAAAGAGAGAGTTTTTTTTTAAAAACAACGCTATAACTCGAGTTCTGATGGGTTCATCTTCATGAATTTATTTTCAGGCAGGTAGTTCCAATGAGCTCAAGGTTGGAACTTATTTTGATGGTAATGATGATGATAACGACGACGCTTTACAGGAGGTCTGGAAAAAAACTGATTCAAGTGTAATTTTAAGTTTTTAATCAGTTAAAATTTCGAATTGATGAAAACGGACAACTGGTACATTTAGGCCATACATGCTTCATTTCTCGAAAATTCAGCCCAGGAATACACTAAGTTCCAAATAGATATGCATGGCTATAATCACGAATCGAAAGGAGACATGATCGAACGATTGCGCTCAGCATTCACTGAAAGGGCTAAGGGTATCTTTTCTCTGCTGTATGACCTTATTCTCTTCTTTTTTTTGTTTAAAGTTGTGAGTTGTTTAAGATTTTCAGTGACTTTGAAAAGTTTTCTGAAAGGCTGATATTATATTGTATTTTGTGATGAATGGGCGATTGCTGTTTTTTATTAGCTTTAACGTGTTAAAATAGTTCCTTGTTGTCCATAGCTCATTGCTCGTTCACATTTCTAAGTTTTATATTGAATTAAATTTACAAACTGCTTAGATTTGCATCACGACACATGGTCATCATCTTCAAGCGAGAACAGTGACGAATTTGCTGAAGTATTTCCTGAATTATCAAAACATTTCTTCAAAAAAATCGACCCTTCATCGAGAACGAAAACTACCGAAGTTTCAGCTGAATCTGAGCTAAATGAATGTTTCGTTAACGATCAGGAGCACATCGGTGATGAGGTAAAAGGGGATTTGTTGAAGAATTTTCAGTTCTCTCCGGTTCTGTTTTATTTTTTTACTGTTTGATACTTTTCGATACTCTTTGTTTTGTTACGTTTTTCTTATATTCCTCTATTTGCAGTTGCCAGATAATTACGGTGAAATTATTTGTATCAATGAGTCGAATTACTTTAGTTTACTAGTGAGTCGTTATAACTTTATTGCTGTCATTAATGGTAGTCAGTGAAAATATTTTAGAGCAGAAGTATTGATGACTCACAGTCGGGGCTTCAAGGTTCATCGATGTTCATTAATTCAGTCGACGATATAGATACTCTTGCTTCAGCAAAAGAGGAAGGTGTTTATAAGGATTGTCAAGTCTGTTATTCATTTAATTTTGATTTTGCATGATTTGAATAGATCACTGTCATGACATTAAATAATTTCTTTGGGAATTCGAGTTGTTTTAGGATTTGTTACGTATTTGCGGGATACCGTTTGTTATTGCTCCTGGTGAAGCTGAAGCTCAATGTTGTGAACTTGAAAGATTGGGTCTCGTTCAGGTATTTTTTTCAGCAGAAGGGCCATGCTCTACCTTCTGTAATTCCAGTGCTGCTCGAAGACGCGTCTTATAATCGAATCATTTTGATAAAAAAATGATTAACAAAAAAGTAGAATGTTTTTTTAGGGAATAATTAGTGATGATTCCGATGTTTGGCTATTTGGTGCCGCTGTTGTTTACAAAAATATGTTCAATCAAAAGCGAAGATTGCAAATGTACACTATGGAAACTATTCATGATCAGTTAGGTAAATTCTCTTAAGGCCATCGTTTGATTAAAAACGACGTAGTTATACTATGCTCGTTCTGTTTGATAACATAATTCTAGGTTTATCTCGTTGGGAAGCAGTGCAAATAGCTTTACTTTCTGGTGGCGACTATACCAACGGTTTAGAAGGTGTTGGAGTCGTTGCAGCATTAGAACTGATTTCAGAGTTTTCCACTACTTCTCAACAAATAGATGTCGAACCTTCTCAACAGGTATTATTGCAATTTTTCGAATAGTTGTTTGCTTTCAGTATTCGCAGCTATCCTCGTATTGCACAGACATTTGCTTTTAAACATCTTTGCAAAGTATTTACGAAATTATAAAATTAATGCCTTTTTTGAACAATTCTAGGCTCTTGAAAATTTGTGCCGTATATCGGAGTGGTTAAATCATCGTGGTACTTGGGATAATTTGCCTACAAACAGTGGTTGTATCAGTATTCAGGATTTAAGAAAAAGGAAATTCGTAGAAAATACCCGACGATTAAAGTTGAGACGGTTAATTGAGAAAAATAACATTTCTGAGACTCTGGATGCGGTATGTTTCTCCACATTTATCTTAGTGGGGATTTAATTGGTATTAGATTGATAGCTCTTTTTTACAGTAACTTACACTTTCGCAACATTTCGTTCTCTTGACTAATTTACTTCGATAGTCACGCACTTCATATATCAGTGGTATCCACTAACATGACATTTCATTGAAAATGTGAATGGAGTGATAGTTGGATTTAAGGCAATTATAAAAGTCGTATTTATTCATCGTGAGAAATAGAATGGGGTATTTGATAGAGGAATCACATCTAAAACATCGAATTCATGTAAACTTGGAAATGAATAGATTACGAGATAGGATTAAAATAGGAAAAAATCTTTTGTTTCTCACACTCGAAAAACTCTAAGAAAAAAAATTTTTCTGAATACTTTTAGTTTCCTCCTCGTGAAGTATTCAACGCATATGCGAAACCTTTGGTGGACAGTTCGACGGAGAAGCCGAAATGGCAGAATATTAATATGGAAGAATTAGAGTTGTTTGTTTGGGAGAAGCTGGGATGGGATAGAAAGGATCTGAAAAAGGTAGTGATCGAAAAAGAATTTTTTTTTTTGGAACTATTATAGTTTTATGTATAATATGCAGTTTTTGATAATATAAATTATATAATATGCAGCTTTTAATAACATAATTGTCTGCACTCTGTGATTTCCTTACTTGAAAATATATGATCGTTTTTTATTTTCATGCTGCCATCGTTCTTTCTGGATTGCGGGGTTGCAAAAAGGACTACTCTCCTTCATCATTCACCCACCTGCTTGAATTAATAGGCTGCTCATGATAGCATGCAAAATTTTAGCAAACAAATCATTCATTGTTAAAATGGAATGAGTATTTGAATCCAACAGCTGGTGGAAGTGGACAGTCGTACCAGACGCATATCACATCATTTGCTTATCGTTTGCAGAAATCCGAGAAAGATCAGCGTTTATTTTTAACAGCACGAGTTCAGGCTGCTCTGCAACGTTTAATTACCATTAAAAGTATGCTTAAATTTCGGTTATACATTTCTAATTCTTCATCTTTTTGCATATTTTCTTTTGTACGTTTTTCTTTCATATGTCTTCATATATTTGTCATTTTCAACTTTCGCTATGTATTGTTTGTTGTTTCCTATAATTTGGTTCATTTCGTTTTCAGATTCTCAAAATCAGCTTTCATCAGAAAGTGCTGAGAATAACTGTGCTGCAGAAATGAAGGTGGTTTTTATATGAGTTTTACATAGTATTGTAAACAATTTGCGATTAAAGTCTAATCCTTTTTTAGATATCTGTTTTTTATGAGGAGAAAATGATCCGTGGTAAAAAAGCTTAAACACTTTATTTTTCATGATCTACTGCATTCACAATCATTTATTGAATGGTTCATTTTCGATTCATTCCGGAGAGATGAAAAGAAGTGGACATTATTGAAAGTCACTGTTGAAGGAAACGAAACTCATATAAACTTTTTCCAGATAATGAGGACAAATGAAAAACTGAAAAGGAAACGGCCGAATAAATGTATTTTGAAAAAATCGACAAAAAACGAGAAAGAATCGACTAGTGCACCGATGAATAAACGAAAGAAGTTAACTAGAACAAAAAATGCTGAAAACAACTTTGCTGCCAGAGAATTACAATTGTCTGAAGAAAGCTCTGATGATAATATCTGTTAAGTGTTTATTCAAAAAACGGTTGTGGAATATTAATGACAGAGTTAGATTAACTGTATTTATGAATGTTAACATATCTTTGAGGTTTAGTTTGAGGGATTTTAACTGAACTGTCTAATCAAATCCTTGTATGGATTGTTTTTCATATGAAAATGAAAAAGATATGGATTCTCCCGAATACATATTTGCTCCGTAGTATAAATGCACATTCTGTAAGAATATTTATAACCAGCAAATATGTATTCGGGAGAATCTATATCTTTTAGTAATGTTAAATTTGGATGTGGCGGGTGTCTAAAAAAGGATTTTCTGCATGAATTGCATGTATATGTACGTAAAATACTGATAACTGTTGAAAGCAAAAATCGGCTATGGAATTAATAGTAGAGCATTTATGTATGTTATAGAGTTAAGATTTTTCAGTTGAAGCTTTCCGGTCTTCACCTAAAATTTTTGATTATATATCAAAAATTTTAGGTGAAAATCGAAATATATCAAAAATTTTATATATGTATATATATATATGTATAAGGAATGTTCTAAATAAGCTATGCAATGTCGTTTTTTGTGAAAGTACTGGTTTTGCTTTTAAAAATGATGCATATTGGAAACTGCGTGTACTCTTCAAAATTCCAGAAGAATGTAAGTTCGCAGTATTGGGAGGCAGAAATTAAAAAGCAATTAAATTCAATAAAATATTTCATTATATATATATATAGTAAAGGTTCTTGTGTATACATTTATTGATTTGCGATACATTTATTTATTTGCGGTATGCAAAATGTAGTTTTATTCTCTTCTATCTCTTTATATATAACGATTTTAACTTTGTTATGATAAAATACGAAATATGTAAATTCATAAAATTACACGAAATGTATTATAGTCGTATTTACATAAGGCGACTTATCTTACGTGCTTTGTATTCTTTGCAATTTTTATTCATAAATGTGAGGAAAGGGCAATAGCAAAGAACGAAATTAGGATGAGGAGGATTTGGAATAAAAATTATTATCAATAAAATGGATGATGTGTAGGAAAAAAATATTGTAGGATTGTTTTAATCGGTTTTCAAATTTTTTTCTCCTCTTAATCAATATCATTTAATATATTATCCGAGGAATGATTCGATCATGTCGCTTAGATCTTCTAGAATTGAAATGCGGATGTTTTCCTATTACGGCCAATCTTTTTTGATGTGTTTTTTTTGATTTTTTGATGTTACATATCACATTTGATAACTTTCTACAAAAACCTAATTTTTTTTGTGATGAAATCGTATGTACGAAGATTTTTCACGCTTTTTTTTCATTTTTGCAAAGTTTTCTGACATTGTTGAAAGGAACTATTTTAGCGGAAATTGAAGGACATTAAAATATTGAACTGCAATGGATATGTAATTACCTGCCGTAATATTTGGTCTAACAATGTGAGGACAGCACACAACGAGTAATGCAATTTCGTGAATGATATTTCGCTTCTGCGCGCCTTACAAATACTCAAATTTTCTGCTATTTTGTTCTAACAGAAGAAAAGGTCTGCAAAATACATTTATTTCAATTAATTAATTACATATTTAATCATCTATGAATAATTATTTTAGTCATTTTAATCTGTTTCCATCGATTCTGTCAATTGTAGACGAATATTATTCGTAAATCATTTTCTAATTATTTACTCAAATGCGTACTTTAGCTCATTTTTTTCTAAAATATATTGAAGAAAAAAGGTGAAAAAAAATGGATTTTCGTTTTTCATCCATTTTTTCATGTCTTCTAATCAATTAATTATGGTTTTCATGCGTTGTAAACTAAAACGCCCTATCCAATTATTCATTAAATGTTCTTTTTCTTGTTTATTTCGAATCCTTCCCATTTAAAATAAATTTTGTTTCGGGAAAGTTTGACATTACGATATCTCACATTTAGAATGTTCGAGAATATCGTCGATTTATTAGTTTCTTTTCCTTTCTTTCTATGTAAATAAAAGGTGAAACAACAAGAACAATGGATCTTTCCTATTATTAAATAAATAATATTACGAATAGCAAACTTTTTTAAATGACAGTAATTTTTTTATTTTTTCCCTATCTTCTTTTTCCTTCATTTTCTTTATCGGGAAAATTTAGATTTTACTTTTTTTGCATTATTTTCAAGTGATGAATAATTATATGCTTTTAATTGATAGGAAGATGCATGTATTAAAATAGTATATATTTGAGAAATCTTTTAGATAGTTTGACATAATTAAATTTTTTCGTAACTCTTCAAATTTATATTTCTATTTGAAACCATTGTGGATAAAGTTTTTGATGAACAAATGAAGGTGAATGTATTGCAATAATTTTCTGCAAATCAATCGAAAATTTCATTGAAATTTGAAATTTTTCTTACATTTTCTTGTTTTCTTGAAAATTTTAAGAATCCTACTGATACATGATCTTTGATCCTATTTTTACACTTCTTAACCATATTATAAGTCTTTAGACTTAACTTATAATCCATGCACATCCATTGTGAAATATTTTTGTTTAATATCTATTTACTTATTGTTTAGTTAAGCTTGTTAGAATTTGGTAAGAAAACTAAACAAGAGATATAACTCTCCCGAGATATCTGGCAGTATGCTGCAGCATAAATATTTTCGAATGTTTCTAAGAATTAAATGTAACAATTCAAATGAAATGTTAATTTAATTTGGTTAACTAAGGGTAGAATAAGATATATCACGATATTATTAATTTGATTTAATCATTGAACGATGGATTTAATAATTTTTAAATCTCTTCATAATCATGCTTTGTTGACTCTCCCAAAATTCCATTTTTCTTTCATTCCATCATTGTTACCAAAAATTTTTGAATTACATATAACAATACTGTCTACGATCACAATTGTTGGGCAGTATTTGCCTAACATTCGAATCACACCATGCCCTGCATAGTATTTCTCTGTGATATTTATAATAGACTGAAGTTCATGTCCTATTCAACAGTCAGAATGACGAAATTAATTGAATTATACATCAATTTGTTACCTGTGATTGAATCTTTACTGTATCGATGTCGTACTTTCTCTCTCTTTTTCTCTCTCTCTCTCTCTCTGAGTCTCTGAGATATTTCTAAAATATATCATTAGTAATTTAATTGTTTGTTCATTCTTTTAAATGATTAAATTTGATTCGATCTAAGTTTACTTAGGAGAATTTTTGAAATGGCTATGAAGATAAAGTAAATTGTGAAAAGAAATACAAGAGGATAATAATTGTAGCAGCATCAACAACGAGTTTGATTTCAAGTACTTCATTTTTAAATCATTTTGATAAAAGAAAAAAAGAATCGTATTTATTTTGTTGAATAATAAATAAATCAACTTCAACTGTTTATTAGAATCAGCAAGATTATCTCCAGTGAGCAGAGAAAATTGAAGAGATGATGAAGGAGACGAGGAAAGGGATACCTGCAAATGGAACCGGTTTTCCAATTTTTAGTATCATGAAATAACATAATGATCGCGCACTGTCCTCATTTTTAATGCTGTATGCGTATATGTGTGCGTCTATGCGTGGGTGTCTGCGTGTGTGGGTGTACATATACGTGTGTGTGAGTGTATTTGTTTGTATTGAAAATTAGCATATTTGTCTTGAATAAATAAGCGTATGAAGAATTTTTCTTCTTTCCTTCTCTATTATTGATGTATTTTATTATTATTTTAATTAAATGATTAATTATTCTTTCATATATATTTATGATTACCTTTATTAATTGTTATTTATTCTTGTAAATGATCGAATTTGATTTGACTAAATTTATATAAGAGAAAGAAAGGGGAAATGAACCATAATTTCCGTGTGATTAAAATAGTATTTATTTCTTCCTAAACCATAATTTTCGGGTCATTAAAATATTGTCATTTTCTTTCTATCCTTCAATTCATTTCTTTCCTATATTCATTCATCTGCATCTTATTTAATTTAAAAGATTTGTAAAAGTAAAAGAAAAAGAGGAGAAAATATTCGGATAACAACAATTATAACTGACATATAAGTAATGCAATTAAGGAGATCACATCATATGTTTCTTTAGATTGTTTACACTTAGCATTCAGTTTGTTTAGCTTCCGCAGGTGTATTGGGCTTGTTATCTTTGAATATTTTAACAAAATTCTTTTCTCCCCCTTCACTGTTTTAGTTTTTAGTCGATAACAATGGTTTTGTAATTTGGAATCTTTATTTGATCTTTTGAAATTTAGGAACATAGCGATTTCAATTCAAAAATAATATATGTATAGTGGGAAGACAGCAAACCTATGAAAGTAAAATTTGACAAAAAAATGGAGCAAGATTTCTTTGACCACTTTTTTGTATTGTTGAAAAAGCTTTGATAGTTTCGATGATCCTTTTGAAATTTTATGTGTGTAATTTCGAAATTTTAATATAATAGATTGAATGTGTGTTTAGAGCAAAAGAACTGACATATGAAAGCGTTGTTTTAAAAAGGGAATATTTCGACAAATTTCGAAATAATTTCAGAACTTAGCTTTTTCTTTTCAAAATTGTCATACTTCAATTATGAAATTAACTGATCGAAAATTATCGATGTTTAGTTTAACCAACCTCATTGATACACCGTGATTTTCGTTCATTTAATAGTTTAAGTGTTTGCAGATCGTAAAGATTCTGTTGTAATTTTGAGTAAATTTTAATATTTAAGAATTTTAAATTACAGCAAATATAATTCAAAATAAGAATTGTTGACTTCCCTCTTATCGAATTATGCAAATTTTCAGCCTTATTCGGGTCATTTTCACCATCCTTTTTGTTTTAACCGCTTCCCATAGTATTAATGTAAAATGTATAAAACCATAATTGTCTTATGCTGAAAATTTGGAATAATTGTTATTTATAAGATTTATTAATTATGACTAATTGCATATTAGCATTTGAATATAACAGTGAATTCTATAACATTAACATTGGAATATAACATTGAAAATTATTTCTACCTTTAAATCTATCATATTTCTCATTTTTGTTTTTCATCTCTTTTCGAAATTTGTAATTCTTTGAAGAGAAATTTTTGTTCCTAACTATCATTTATATATTTCCAATAAAATAATATTTATGCTTTTACTCCTCTTTTATTGATTAGCAATATTTACAGCTAATTGCATCGGAATAATATTTTTCTAATTTTCATAAGCAATTACATAACATGTTTTGTTTTCCATTTTATTCATTTAAAATCCCATGTTTATCATCAATCTCTTCAATTATAATTTACATAATTTTTCAATTATGAGAAAAATATCAGCTTAAATTTCAATTTACCATATTGCGAAGTTACTAATTTCATGAACTGTAATTTTATCAAAATCACATTTATATTCATTAGTGTAATCATGATTAGAAGAGTATAATTCGATGCTTTTCTTCTTTTTATAACTATTATAATAATTATAGTTTCCTTCATGCAAACAAAAAGCAAATGTTACATTGCTTTTGCATTTTCTCAACACTATATTTTTATTATTGGAAGAGAAGAACGCTATGTGGCACTATTTGGAACCAGTTTTCCATCATTCATTCTTTCATCTTTCAAACTTATTGTTATGTTTCAGAAGTTTCGATATATTTCTGTTGTTAACGTTCCTCTTCCAATTCTTTCTTCAATTTAATAAAAATAATTTGATAAAAAAAGCGAATTTCAGATACAGTGGAATATTATTAATGGAATATTTTAAATTAACCTTAATGAAAAAATTGAAAGAGTTAATCAATTTAAAAAGCGATATGCAGAAAAACTTTTTTTATTTTATTTTTATTCCAAATATTTTTATCTCAAGCTAACCTTTGTATTTACATGAAGAAAGAATTTCGAAGTGTTTTCAATTAATTCGAATAAATTGTAGCAGATTGAATCACCACCTTTTATACAGTAGAATGATGTAAAGTAAACTAATCCTGTTGATTTCTTTTCAGTTGTTTTTAATAAATTGTATTGAATTTAATTATTGTAATATTTTTTTTGGTAGCAAAGAATCGATTATGTTTAAATGATCGAATAGTTCTGATAAGCTAAATTTGATTGGTTAAATAGCTTAGACATTTCGATCAATTGAAATACAGCTAACGTAAAATTTCAATCCTTTTTTAGCTTTTAATATTCTAAGATTGATTTTGGTTTGTTTTTCTTCTATTTTTGCCTCTCTCCACTTTTTCCCCTTCAATAAAATTAAAATATCATTTTAGTATTTGCGAAATACTAACAACGTACTGAACAGATTTAAATGTATACGAATTTTTAATTAATTCATTTTCTCACATTATTGAAATGTGAATACGTGAGCGATTAACAAAAAGTTAATGCAATAATGCATCTATATAATATGGAATTTGATGCTTATATTTCTTTTTATCTATCATACAATTAAAATTTTGAAAGTATCGAGGAAAAGTGAAATGATAAGAAAAAGATAAAATTTTGGAAGAAATCAAGGTTCTTCAAGAAGAATAATTAGTTTCAAAATTTAGAATGTCTTTTATATCAGAATTTCTTTTCTTCTTTCCTATAATTTCCTCTTTTCTCAATGTTTGTATTTACGTTCTCCAACTTCCACTTATTTCAATGATTGGAGTTCATATATATTACTTTACTATTTTGTCCACATAATATTATGTCATTTTCTTCTTTCATCATATATTTTACATTTAAACTTCATTCATTCATTTATAATTAATTTATATCGTTAATAATTGTAGTAGTAGCAGTAATAGTAGTAGTAACAGTAGTTTTTCAAATTTCGATGATTAAACAAATCGTAGTTACTCTTTTTTTGAACGCTTTGCTTAATCATCAGTTATTTTCAATAAGCGATCGTTGTGGTTCTTTTTTGTTAGCAAATTATTATTATGGATTTTTTCTGATGACTAATATGAATGTAACAGTGATAGGTGAAGCTCATGTAAGAGATGAAAAATTAATTAGCGTTAATTTAATTTCGTCATACGTTTTATTACTTCCCATAATGAGATGAAAGCATTTAATGCAACAGAAATTTAACATATTTTCAATAAAATTTATAATTGATCAAAATTGTTTTCTTCTCTAACTGTTGCATTTCTCATTATACTTCTGAAAATGTTTCAGTGAAATTATTATAAATTATATTACATTTCTATTATTTTATTTGAGGTAATAAGTTTTCATTCACTTCGATTGATTTTTCTCTGTCTAATTGATGTAGTTAGTTACCTAAGTATGCACACATAGAATGTTTGCGCTATGACATATATTTTACAGCAATGTGGTAAGTAAGAAATTCTGTTGTGCTATTTACCAATATTTATATGTTATAATATTAGCGATAGATGGCTTGTAATTAAGAATGTACAGATAAAGAGCCAAATGTTTAAAGCAATGATGATTATGGAAGAATTCGAATAGATCTTTGTTGTTTACAAATTTAACAGATTTTTTTTCTGAGGATTAGTATGAATCTATTACTGACAAATAAAGTTCGCTTGAAAATAATTAGCATTAATATTTACTTGTGGTGTAACAGGTAACATACACAAAAGTTTAATTGAAATTTGATGGGAAAAAATAATTGCATTTTTCTAACACTTACGTTGAACATTAGCAACATATTTTGCATGTATTGAATAAATGAAATCTGGATGGAAAGTTTTGTTTTCTTTAATTGAGGAAAAGTGTAGAGTGTATTGAAATCAGTTGATCTTACCTATTACTTATCCATCGTTTGTTAGTCATTTTTCTTTTTTTCTTTATCAATAATAATTTCATTAAAGGTATCTAATTAATGATGATCACTATGTTATTATCCTTTTTGCTATGTTCTTTTTGTTTTCCCTATCAGAATGTCATCCTTACTTTTCAAATGATTTGACGATAATTTTTGTCAATTTTACTTCTTTATTTCTCTACCTTTTACTTTCAAATCTACAAAGGTAGATAAATCATGATATTTTGATTTACTGCAGTTTATCCGTGTTTGATTCAATTCTGTTGCTCTCATTTCTTTTTCCATCTTCCATTTCATTGATTTTTAGTTGAAAATGACTTATTTGAAAAAATATCAATCTCTTAAGATTCAATCGGTGTTTATAATGAGTTTTTGTTTTATAATGATGTCCAAATTATTTTCTTTTTTTACATCGATAAACTTTTTGTAATGAACCGATCACGGATTTTTGCAATTTAGGATAAAACACTCTGTAGTTCCTATGTAGTTACACTTTCAAACATTGTAATATTTTCGAATTTAATAGAATTAGTTCTATAAATTTCCCATTGAATTGGATGATTCAATGAAAATAATTTTGAATGCGAAATTATTTTTAAATTGTAGAAATGATTTATGAATTGAAAAATGATTTTATGATTGCTATATAGATTTTCTTTCCAGTGATTTTTATTAAGTACTTCTAATTATGTATTAAGAACATTCTATTACAGAGTTTAGGTCATACAGTGTTGGGATAATAATAATAGCAGTAGTAATGGATGGAAACAGTAAACGAATGTGGTTGTCACTTATGGTTATTTCGATATTATTCGTTGAACGGGTAACAGTTTTTGAACTGGACAGTGGAGAATTGATACCAAATTCTTTATATGGTCCTGGCGATCATATAACTGTATTGAATAGTGATAACTTCAATAAGAGCGTATACAATAAGGTAAGTAACTTTATCATGAAATTACATGGGAAGTTTTTATTCAAACAGAAGTTTTACTTTTGAATATTTATGAATTCGATAAAGTTAAAGTTTTGGGGTGAAATGAATTGAAATGAGACTTATCATCTATATATATATATGCTCACGGACGAGAAATTTCTGATATTGCGGAAGTTGGGAAGAACTTAAAAGCATTGATTTACATAATTTTTTGGAGTTCATTTCATAGTTTGTAAATTTAATTCCAGTGCTGGTTACCCCAATTACTTAATTGACAATGTTATCATTTATATTTATAATTTATTATCTATATACATATATATATTATATTATTATTACTTCTAGTTGAATGATTGAGTTATGCGATTTTCCGATTATATTATTCATTTTTTGGGTTATTTATTTTTCTGATTATATTATTCATTTTTTGCTTAAATTGTATTAGATAATATAAGTGAGATAAATGTTGTGAAGTAATAATCGAAGTATCAAATTTATATTTTAGGATCAGTTTTTTTTCGTAGAATTTTTCTCGAGTTGGTGTGGTGCTTGTATTGGATACGCTGAAACATACAAACAACTTGCAAAGTAAGGGGAAGTTTGTTCTCTTCGAATATTAATCAAGTTTATTTTCACTTCGTAAAATACTATTTTGGAGATAGAAAACATGAGGGGGACAGAGAGCAATTTTCTTAGATCCTTTTTCGAATAAGAATCTTAAGTAAAATTATTTGACTAATAAAAAGATTTATTTATTTCTCTTGAAAATAGATGAGATAGAAAGAATGGAAGGTTGTAGAATTGATCATTTTCTCACTCTGAACCTCACTCCATTCAATTGCGGAGCGAATAATTCATTGAACTCTATACATATTTTAAGTTAGGATTCAATGATCAATGGAAACCTACAAAAAAATCCATTTCAAATAAACTTCCGCATATAGTCTGTTTAATATTAAATAACTCGCAAAATAATAAAGAACATTTTCTCACTGATTTTGGGTTATACGTTAGATTGTGAACTCGAACAATGAACTTCCCAAATAGAATCGTAACTTTATAAGCGATGGTTTACCTTTTATTTGCTTGTGGAAAAGTCTCACTGTTAGACTTCAAACAGATTTTTGGTTTATTTTTGGGCTTTGGGTCGTCTGAAATATCAGATTGAGAAAACTGCGATACAGTATATTTGATGGAATATGTAAACAGGTTTTGCTGTTATCAAAAGAAAATAATAACTTCCTAATATGCTTAACAATGTTTTGCAGACAACTGCTACAGTGGAGGTCTATTGTTCAAATTGCAGCCGTCGATTGCGCTGATGATCGAAATTCTGAATTGTGTCGAGAGCATAATGTTGATGCTTTTCCAACTATCAAAGTAATACTTCTCTTAATTGCTTTCAAAAATTCTTCAAATTTAAGATGAAATCAGTTATCTTCTTTGTTTCATCGTTTTTAGTGACATTTATCTATTTCTTTTCTTGTCTTAATTTTACTTTAGCAAATCTTCAAATTTTTTTGATCCTATATGATGTTTTATTAAATTAAGACTGAAGTTTTTCCACATAAAGCTACTTGTATAGTTACATGCGCCATTTTCATGTTGATTACTTTCTTCTCTTTAAAACGACACATGATACCTACAGCTGTTGAAAAGGCAAATTACATCTTAGGTTTAAGAAAACTTTATTTTCTATCGTAATCTCGAAAGGTCTCATAAATCTGAGAAATGTATAATGTATGTGTTGTGATTTTTCCAACTGTAAGATGTTGTTCTACACATTCTGGGATCTCTTTTCAGTATTTCAAATACATGTCAACGAGTGCAAATGACGCCCAACAATATAAAGGAAATAAGTATAGTTTAAATGATGTAGCACTAGATATTGCCCAGTTGGTGTATAATGACTGGATATATTGGAAACCTGCAGAATGGCCAAATTTTCTGACTAGTGATAAGTATATTTTTATTATTTCTTCAGTCCTTTGCTGAAACCCGAAATAAATGTCACGATGAAATTTTGAAAGCTCTCTTTTGTAATACATCTTTATTTATATACTATCTATTAAAATTGGCAAATTTAAGTATCATTTTGTATAAACCATGGAAGACAGCAACCTCCGTTTAATACGAAATAGAAATTTCTTTAATTTGTTTCAAAATCACTTCAATTGCCACTTTATTTATGGAATTTATTTTACGTGATTTTCATTTTTCAGTTATGTCAGGCTTGAAGATCTTTTATCAGCAATGCCGCATTCTGCCTCGTTGTTAGCTCTAGTCGTTGAAGATAATCCTTCGAGGACAGCGTGGGCGGTAGGTGGCGTTTGTTAAATTTTATAATTCTTTTTACGATATCATTAAAGAGTTTTCTATGCTATGATCCTCTATATGCTGCTCGCTACAAATTGCCTAAAACTTTTCTGTTTCTTTTTTATATAGCATTTCTTAAGATAAATAAATCAAGTGTGAAATTGAAATGCTCCGATAAATTAAATAAATAAGCTGTTTTTTTATTTTTTGTTTTTGATGGATGAAAGTATTAATATGTGGATTTATATATATATATATATATATTTGTTGTTCACTAACGTGTATTTTCATATAGGAAATGATAGCATTTGCAAATGATGAACGAGTTCATGTAGCGCAAATACAGCGCAATAATCCAATAGCGCAGCAGTTTGGTATTACAGAGGCATCAGGAAAATCACGATTGTTCCTGCTGAACAAGGAGTACCAACCAACTCTGCTTTATATTTCTATGTAAATTTCCCATATTATAAGTAGTTTCTCAAGAAAATTATGCTGTCTAAAACCCACAGTTTAATCTAAAATGAAAATAAGCAGTAATTGTATTTCGGTTTCATTGTTATTATTTATTTGTTTGATATAATTAGATAAGGATAGGAGATGTTTGTTTTTCCAGGGAACATGACACATGGCTTCAGATGCAAAATAAGATTAATGAACACTTGGCACAAATTCCTGTAAACGTACCTGTGGCACAGGTACTTTTTTTATTCCTCGGCATTGCTCCTACCTTTCTCTCTTTTCGATTTGTAAATCATTCTTAAATTATTTAAAATATATATCGATCGATTGGCCAATTGTTACTAATGTTATGAAGAAAAATTACTTCTTAATATGATCAAAGAGCTTATGCCTGAAATAGTTTTTGCCGTATAAATTTTAATTCTTATGTAAAGTAATAGTTGTTAGTTGCCATATTTCATCTGTATCAGGTATTTCTGAGAGTGAATTGTTTTTGAAGAAACAGTTGGCCATGCTAAGTGTTTCGATTTTTTGAATAAAAATGGGAATCTTTAAAATTGTTGAAATTTTATCGATTTAGAATGAAGTGTTACGAGATGTGAAGGCATTCAATGAAACGGAGGTCACTTGGAGTCAGTTTGAAGTACGTCGCTATATATCGTTTTGTTGCGTTATTAGAAGTAATTATATAGTTCGAGATACATTGCGAGATATTTTTAAGGTGCAAATGATGGATATCATAACTGCGCTTCGTTATATGTTAATGGATGAAATACCGAGGAAAACTATGATTAAAGGTGAAAAGCTTGCGGCATTAAAATCATGGGTTCATGCGATGAAAAAGGTGAGTTTATTGTTACCAATCTGTTGTAATTTAGTAATTTATTTTATTAGCTGTAAGATATTTCCTTGTTTTTATTTGTCATTTCTGACAATTACAGTAGCAGATCAATTGGAGCTGTTAATCGAAATTGATACTTTTTTCATCTTCTGGTGTATTGAACAATACTTTTTCTTTCAATATTTCTGAAGTGGATCAGATTTATAAATAAAATATGACTATTTCAGTATATGCCAGGAACAATCTCTATACGAAGATTGTTGTACCGGTTGAATGATTGGCTTAACAGTGTATCAACTGAACTCACTTTCGAACAATGGAAACATAAAGTAAAGACGATTCAGGTAATTAATCCTTGGTTTAATTAAGCTCTTAATTTTCTTATGCATATTTCAATTATATCGTGATACTTTTTTATATGTTATTAGATTGGATGCTAAAAACTGTCATTTAAACAATGTATGTTCAGCATTGATTTTTAACATTCCTGCTTTACCTCATTAGTTGTTTATCGGTACGGGATATTATTAATTTCTTCTATTTATACATCTTAAATAAGCAGACAAACTGACAAATACGTTTGATATTCGCGAAATTCAGCATTTATTATTATAAAAATCAGTTTACATGCTTTAGATGAATAGTATAATATTAGGTCTTCTCATCATAAACTATTAATCAGATGTTTCTGATTATTTTTCTTGTCTGAAACTATTCATGGGTCTTTATTTCAGGATCAATTAGGTCAGCCGCTCCCAAGTGCAACCAGTTATATGGCTTGTCGTGGATCTAAAATTCATTTCCGAGGATATACTTGTGGAGTATGGACAATAATACATGCAATGAGTGTTCAGGCATATATGATTGAAAAAGACAGTAAGTATGTCATTCGTGTATGTGTGTTTGTGAATCTGTTATAAATCAGCCTAATATTGCATTCAATGAATAGCGTTAATGTTCTGTTTTTATGATTTTAAGATGTTGAAAAGAAAAGTAAAAAAACTATATGAAGAAAAGAAAAGAAAGAAATTTGTCTTTTTTAAATTCTAAAAATGAAATATTTTTAACAAAATTAATTCATTGTGCGATGAAAATCTCCAAAGAGTTGTAATGCTAAGTGACTGTTTGAGATTGTTCGAACTGAAACTTTAGCGGTACCGATAATAGTGTTACTCTTTCAAGACAAAATTGTAAGAAATGTTTTATATTTAGAGCTTTGTTTTCTTTTTCTTTTTTTCAACGAATTAGTGTGAATGGTCATGATGGCTGAAATTTTTCAAGTAGAAGAGAATGCTTATTCAGTCGATGCAATGAAAAAGATAGGTCATTTTCCTAGATTTGATTCTGGAAAAAAATTATGATTTTTTTAATAATGTGACATATTGCTTATAGACACAAGTTTCAATGCTAACAACGATCTGATCGAGCCATTCCATCAATTTATATGGAATTTCTTCAGCTGCCTCAAATGCAAGACTCATTTTCACGAAAAAATTTTGGGTCAAAATATGACTGCAGTTGTCACACCGGGTAAATAAATGCAAATGAAAAATAAATGAAACTCTGTTTGCGCACGTTTAATATATATTATGTTGAGTGAAGCATGGTCAAACATTTCAAGTTGGCTAAAACTTTTTTTCCTTTTTCAGTGTACGTTCATTAGAATGATAAATTCTATTTCTTCATTTTAGTTGCTGTCTATATAGCTAACCTAATATAATCCCATATAACCGATCAGATTTCTTAAGTTAGCCAGTTTTTTATGCGAAATGAATTTTATGCAACTTCTGAATAATGTTAGATTGCAAAACGTATTGCTACTGTTATCTTATATTGCTAAGTACAAGCAGTATAAGCAGTGATAGTTTTTTGACTTGTCTACTGAATTTTTTATGTAAAATAGAGATGAATAACAGAGATTGCATATATTTAGCGGATGGTGTAATGTGGTTGTGGATGACACATAATATCGTTAACAAGGATATCGCAGGCGAAGCGTCAGAAGATCCATTCTTTCCGAAACAGCAATTTCCACCAGCTTCATTATGTCCACAATGTAGGAAGCAAAATGGAGAATTTGACGCAGAAGCTGTATTGGATTTCATGATTAACTATTATAGTAATTTAAAGATCGATGGTGTTAGGGTAAGATTTAATTTCAATTTTTTGAATTAGACAACTGACAGACTTTTGAAATTTGCTATACTTCTACGTATCTTTTTTTTGGAGAGACACTTTTTAGACACTTTTTATCTATTTTAATTTTAAATTGCCTTCGAGTTGGACTTGAAGTTTTTTTAATTTCTAAACAATTGAACTGAACTGATTTCAGTCTGTGCCTGGTTACGTAGTGAGTAATTTTGAAGATGGCAAGTTGGTAGCTATTGAAATGAAGCATCTGAATCCAAAATTCCAAATTGGTGCATTCATTGTTGACTCCATAGAAGCTGATCCGAAATTCATGGATGAGTTCGGTTACAGACATGAATCGAGGTCGGATGAGAATGGATCTGGCGGTAAGTATTATGGCAATAATATTATTAAGTTTAAGTAATAGAATCCTAAATGAAAGAAAAAGTACAGCACCTTTTAAGGATTATTCATTATGTAAATTGATGATCATCAAGCAAATAAATACAAAACTTATGCTACCAGTTAAAGTAACTCCTCAACCGATCAACATAATGAACCATGCATGAGTGTCGTAAAATGGAATCCTGTTATCCCGATTCACTGAATCAATTCATTTATTGAAATTAAGTATTGGAGTCCTACATGAACTTCGTATATTATTTTTCTGATCGCTTTTCTCGTCCAACAAACACATGGCATAGTTTCTTTTTGGCATATTTGAAGCTTTCGATGTGTCAAATGTAGTGAGATATGCATCTTATATAGCTTTTGCTACTCAGCTAATGTAATAAAGTATTCAAGCACGACGACATGAAAGGGTACGGTTTAGGTCTTGAATACTGTGTGGTAATCTCGGTAGTATCGAAATTTTGCCGTGTATTGAACAAAGTTAAGCTAGACAATGGCACTTATTCCTGCCCAATATTCCATCAACGTAGATATGCCATTTATACTTTATGATTGTTATATCTTTTCGCAGATGACACATACGTATGGGTGAAATGTGAAAATGCGTTCGATATGAAAATAGTATTTTTATTCTGTTCTTTCATCCAAAATAGTCGCACACGTTGCATCTATTTTCCGACGCGTAATCTGCAGGCCTTTTTGAGGTTATCATATTACCTTTTTTTTGTAGGGAGTAAGCATGGTGGATCATCAGTGAAACGATCATTTTCCGCGTTATGGCTGTCGGTCATCGCTGTGGTGGTTCTTTTCATCTATATGAAATATCGACGAAATCGTTTTAAAATCTGGAAGACTTTTTATTATAATGACTACAAGCTGTGATTTTTCAATTCGATTCAGTGCCTTTATGTATTTGTAAAACCTTCGGAAATGAGGGTCCAGTGAGAAGTGAAAAACTTTAAGTAGTCCAGTGGCTATAAGCAAATGATAGCTCCATTTTAATTATGGAATGATGAAAGAACTTTTAGTTGATGTCACAAATGGCATAGTTAAATGAGGTAGTTTATCGATTTATGGTTCGATATTTCAGAAAAAATTTTGCTTTATTAGTAATATGTGAACAGTTCGGGGCTGGTCCGGAATTTATTTTATTTTGTAGCTGTCTAGTATTTCTTTTATTGTTTTTCTGCCTATCCCTCACCGTTTTTACTGTTCATTTAAATCGCAGAGAAAATTTTGTAACTTTACAAAATGATGTGTTTCGTCTCTTATTCCAAAAATGGGTTACCTGGAATTCGGGTACCAATAACACTTATTTTCCAGACATTTAGTGTGGAATGTTTCCTGGTAGCGATGAACTTGATTCTCAGTTACGGTCTTTCACTTCTAGTTTTATTCATCCTGCTGTGGAAATATTCTGACAAAGTGTTTAAGGGATGTGTCATTCTGTATAGTAGTAGTAAATACTTGTGTTTGTGATTTTAGTAAATAGCAACATAAGGCACTGATTCGAACTGATAACCGCGCAGAAAGAGCCTTTTGGTACTTCCTGTTTCTTTTTTCTTTTTTGTCTTCCAGAATGTCTTCCAGCAGTTTGCCTTATTTCGTTCTTCTGTCTTTCATAGATACCTTAATATCATTAAGAACGGTTTTTTTCTTTTTGCTTGCCATTTTTTTCATTTCTATTTTATGTTTGAAGCACATTTAGTGTGTTCGTTTATTTTCAATTTCATCCCTTACTTTTTCTTATTATTTTCATAAATTTCAGTTCATTATTTTATTCAAAGCTAACATTTACTTTGAATTAAGTTCATCAAAGTAGAATTTGACAATTAGCAAATTTTCAAATTTGATTTTGCATGCACTATTAGAAATTGCATAGCAGATAGACGAAAATACAAATATAATTTAATTAAATTATTTCAAATGCAATTGAAAATGAATGTCTTATAGGTACCCATGGTCTTCGAGTTCATCTCACCTAGTGCCGAGATTCGCGTTATAAAATTTTATTGTTGAGAAAAATTAATTACTCAGTATGTATTTTGCAATATCATTTGAAGTTTCATATGCTAAAGTATCAATATAATATATATATATTATATTGCTGTTGTAAGGTAACGTAAACTTATTACAATTTTTGAATCTTACTTCGTAGGTTCTTTATGTTTTTTTTTACGAAAATGTTATCAGCCTTTATCAATATCGAATTTCATTTTCGCTTATTTTTCGAGAATCCTTCCTTTTTGGAAATTAGTAGTTTAATATATTTTAAGACTTGTTTTAATCACTTAAAAAAACAGACAGTTATAATTTTCATATCAACAGCAATATTGCTCCTCATAATAGTATGATAATAATAGTTATCGTAAGATAGCAGCAGTAGTTGTTTTTATGATATGAATATTCAGTATTTAGTATTTTGAAATTTTAAATATCGTAAGATTATACTGACTTTATATATACAAAAAAATATGAATATATATAAGTATACATATTTCAGAATGAAAAGAATGATCAGATTGAAATTCTTCCAAAGTATTAACGTGTGTTCATCATACTACAATGTGGTGATGATGGTATTGATGATTTTGTTTCTTTACAAAAAGGTTGTGTTCATTTTTAGAAATACGTACTAATCCAGCACGGCTGGGGATTATCTAAATTGATCATTATTGTTTCACGTATTTCGATATATTTTATGTTGATTTATTTCTCGTTATTTTATGTAATCTTCATTATCACCATCGCACATAAGTTTTTCCCTTTCACCGTGCATGCTTCTGCTTCAGTGTCAATCATTTACCGCGGTTAAAAATAATAAATTCAACGAATATCTTATTAATTAAAAAAAAAGAACGATATTTTTCATTTAATTAACTGTTTGATGGCCATTTTGCAGCATTTTTTTTAATGACTTTTTTGTGAGATATCCTTATCAATTTGTGCATTTTTCAGTAAGTTAAAATTCGATTTTGCCTTCTGTTATCTGTTAAGCCCATTAAAACTGTGTTACTTTTTCCATCTTCCCACATGAACATGGAATGAAATGATGTTCAGTTTCTCTATGCATTCCGTTATCTATCATTCTATATTGGATTCTTCCGTCCTGCATTTCGTGGAGAGAATAAAGCAAATTTCATTCCTTTCAAGAATTTATGCAATAAGTTATGACTTTCAACGTTTTTCATCTATTTACACTGTGCAAGATTAGCATCACTGCGGGAATGCTTCTGTGAGGATTGTTTGATTCAGTTCCATCATGAGATCATTCAGCATGTCAAAATATATATAGAAAATTTCTATTTTACGCTATTTACGGTGTCAAATATTCTGTTTATCTTCTTTATGGTGATTTGCTTTTATGTTCAAAGTTATGGAAATATCGTCATTGCAGCCAGTTGGACATCTATGTAGGGATGTATGTGTTCTATTGCTTAAATTTGGATTCATGTCGAAAATATGAGACAGATTCATTTGATATCATTATTAAGTCATGTAAAACTTTCTAGAGAAAGGAAAAAATAGAGTGGAAAATTGTTGTTGCTAAAATATCTACACAGCTGGTCAGATTTTATCGGTTAACGGAGAGCTTATTGTTAGACATCAAAAGATAGTATCAGAAAATATCACAGATGAAGCCGATCGCTTTTCTAGTAGTGGTAATAGTGACTATACTGTCTAAAATACGCACTGACCGAACCGAATTGAGGCGCACTATTTGAAATTCTTTTGTACAAGTGAACAAAAGTTTAACTTAACATTTGCTGTCACTGAGCACACGAAGCATATTATTATAATTCTATGGAAACAAAGAAAGCTAAATGTGTAAAAGGTGAGATCAACAGTTTACAATCATGTAAAAAACAAAAAATATTATAATAAAGCAAATTATAATTATAATTAAGCAATTATAATTATAATATAGCAATTAGCTAAATGAGCAGAAAATTAGTGTAACATGTTGGAACAGTTTAAATCCTTGATGAATAACCTTTATAGCACAAATTTCTAGAATATAAATTTACTTTAATTTCTTCAACAAATTTATCACAAAATTATTTTGTATGTTTTTCGCTGCACTGTCAGTTCTTCATTGCTCAAATCCCAAAAGTCTGCAAGTCTAACTTTTCAAATCATTCAAAAGTTATTTTAAGGTTATACTTTCCGAATAGGAAATGAAAATTTGAAAATCAGCTGTAAAAATTAAATTACCCGAATCAAGAAAAAGGCCCACTTACACACGGCATTTATTCTTTTTTGTGTGCGGCAAGAGGTAAGTTAGTGATGTTTGCATCTTGCACCGTATATGCTGCTAGAGATAAAGCGCAATCAGCATGGTGTTGAGCTGCAAAAAGAACAAACATGATATGTTAAAATGATGAAGACAAGTCAAGCAAACAGATGCCATTATTAAATTTAATTGTCGTTTATTGATTCAATAATATTAGCGATAATACTAATTGACGATTTTTGATTATGTCCCATGTTCGCTGAGACTATCACCAGGAAAACCGGTATACCGACTGAGAAAATGGATCTTCTTTCGGAATTTTTTTCAATAAATGTATACTGCAGAAGCAAATTAAAGTAACCAATGATAGGACTCGAATTTCCAAAGCAACACCTACGTGTGACGTGGAAGTTTAGCTAGTAAACACTTTTTTAGTTGCGAATGTCATGTTTATTATATCAGATTATGTCAAGATTACAATAAGCGGTTTATGTGCTCACGTGGCATCCCTACGCCACCACGTCATGTTCTTATCGACGTTCAATTAACGCGGTCTTTTGAAAGAATGTTCCTTATTCCCTTTCTGCAATTTTTGCACTTATTATGAGGCAGAGATTAAAAGGCGCAGAGATTAACAGAGAACAATCGTAACATGATAGGTTGAGAAAATGACTGTGTAGCGATGATGAAGAGTTGGAGAGAAGAGAGAAGTAATATTGTTAGCGTAACGTTACTATAAGCATTGTATACTTAATAATTCCCGCGAAGGAGCAGGTTCTCCAAGGTACTTCATATCCTCAGGAATAGGCAGATGCGGTTAGGATGCTTGAAAGCCTGGCGAATTGACATATACAATCTGTCCGTGCTGCACCATAACAGGCTCGCATATGGACAGGTGCCGTGTTTGACATTCTCGCAAATAATTTCTTTTTCAGGAAATTTAATTTCACTTGAAAAAATATTTATGTTAGTTGGACCTTCATTTTTTATTTAAGGTTAGTGCAATTCTCACAGTTTCGAATCAAATGCTACGGTTAGAGGTTACACCAACAACTTCTAATTATGGTTGACGGGTAAGCATTTGTGAATAAACCAGAGATTATATGATGCCGTAGGAAAATTATCTGCAAAGTTCAAATCATCGCCTGAAATACTTGCTACATTTATTTCGAATTTCCTGAAGGAAAATAATATAAATGCGAAATGTGGTTGCAAATTATATTTCTCTACTTCTCTGCTGATGTGATTCGTTATCAGTTCAGATTGAAGGATACAGTACGTCGTGATCATACGCCTAATGCCAGTGATGCGAAAAAGTTTCTCAAAGATTTGACATTGGGAGCTAGCGCAGCAATAGTAGCTAAGACAATTATAGCTCCCATCGAACGAGTTAAATTAATCCTACAGGTATATTTGAAATCATTGAGATTGTAACTTAATTATATTTTCTTTAAAAAATAGTAATTTTATGTGCATTGGTTTCATTTTTTAAATACCTGCAGCAATATTTCTGTGAAAATACTTCTCCAGGAAACTTTTCGGTATTTCCGGTTTGCAAAGACTGCGTAGTTCAAGTTTTGCATTTGGTTTCATATTTCTGTGAGCAGCATTTATTTTTGCAGGCTCAAATAGGTATTTATAGTCATAGAAAACCAGTCCAATATTTGAGCTATGATAAAAAACAGAAGTCGAAATGAATTGGTTTAATGAATTAATCTGGCAATACCATTTCAGCTGCAAAACGCACAAGAAACTGTCGCAGTTGAGAAGCGTTACAAGGGTATGCTTGATTGCTTCGCGCGAATACCGGTCGAACAAGGTTTTCTATCCTTTTGGCGTGGCAATTTGGTCAATATTGCTCGAGCTTGTTCACAAGTAATACTAAATATAATTTTCACTTCTCTTTCACAGATCCTATTATCATAAGCATTGGGAAGTCAAGTTGTGAAGAGACTGGATAGATTTTTTGGGGACTAATACAGCGAGCTTTGCCAGGAAAGTTGATGTTCAAGGAGTGTATCCGTTGTGCGGTCCAAATAGTGAATATGATATCAAGGCAAAATGGAATTAAAGTTATACAGAAGTTTAAATATGTTCCTGTTTATATAAGCCATATCTGAATTCATTATTGTATTTCCTTGATGATTAGTTCATGATGGAGATCACTAACTTATTTTTACCCATATTGTTGTTACAGGAATCTCTTGGATTTGCTTTCAAGGATTTTTTCAAAATTTGGTTTCTTAATGGTGTAGATAGAAAGGATTACTGGCGCCTCACAGCAGGTTCATGAATTTATTGTTGGATTTAAATAAATCCGCAAGTGCTTCTAGTGAGTAATATTGTTTCATACGTCCCTTGTTATGACATATTCTTTGATTATTGTTAGGCAGATTTTTTTAGACCGAATATATTGCAAGCATTAATAATAAGTACTCCATTAAAAACACCCTTATGAGTTTAACTTTTCGGTTTTAGAAATTAACTGGTTTACATTTTGACTCTCCTTGTTGAAATTGAAATTGAAGTTTACTCTGTGCAGCAACCTTCTTTATCAAATGGCAGTAATTTTTTCGTAAAAATTGTTACTAAATTTCAGGTAATCTCGGAGCTGGTGCTATGTCCGGTGTTGCAACATACTGCATAATCTACCCGTTAGATTTCGTACGAACACGGTAAATTTTTTCATAGCTACTTTCTTTCAACTTTCAAAGTTTTAGAGCACAGTATAAAGTTGGAATAACTTTTATGAGTGACAGTTGCAGTTAGAATTTAAGCCATGTAGCTTATAGATTCATTTAACTTATGGATTCAAATATTTCCGTTGATATTTGCAAAATTATCCTCATCATTTGATTGAGAGTCACGTAACCTCAACGATAGCTGAATGTTTAGATTAGCTATCGATATGGGAAAAGGTATATCTCGAGAATTCTCAGGTTTTTTTGATTGCATGTATAAGGTCTTCAGGCATGATGGATTGCGTGGATTATATTAGTAAGTTGTTTCTATTCTCTTTGTCCTACAACAGATATACTTACGTTCATTATATGTAGAGGAAATGAAAAAAACCTTGCATGTTCGATTTGCAAGTCGGGAGGAAAACGTTTCACAATTTATTGGTTACATTTCTGTTTTATTACAACAGTTTCCATAGAATATAAATTTTTGCAGCGGTTTTTGGCCGTCACTTCAGTACATTTTTCTGTATCGTGGAGCCTACTATGGCCTTTTTGATACGGCGAAAACACAATTAACGAAACGTAGCGATGGCGATATCAGTTTCATTTGTGCTTTTTTGATTGGTCAGGTACTGAAAAATGTTTTTCTTTAGTAACATGACAGAAATACTGACTCGTTGATGAATTTTTGCGAAGAATTTTTGAATTAAAAGAAAACAATCATGGTTATAGGCAGTAACGTTTACAGCGGCTTTGATTTCCTATCCCCTGGATACGATACGTAGGCGTTTCATGATGCAGGCTGGTCGTAGCGATATACTTTATCGAGGAGCCTGGCATTGCACGACGGTATGTTTATTTTAACTTAGAATGCAAAAAGGTTTAATTCTACTTCGATTGATTAGTTTTACATTCTCGTGACGCTTTTTCTTATTTATAACTACAACATAACATTCAGTGGAAAAGTTACTAATGTAAAGTGTACGAGTTGTCTGGTGACATGAAAACTTACTTGCCAAACCAAATTTCTATCGGCAGCTTGAATCACTGTGTTATAGATTATTCTTTTATCAGACGTATTTTCTAATGCGTTTCAAACGCAATTTAGCTTTTGGGACGAGAACCAATTGTTATGAGAATTTGAAATTAGTGCTGCAATCTTAATCACTCTCTTCCTAATGCATATCATCTGCAAAACTGCAAAATCTGTTACAGAAGATATGGCATGAGGAAGGCCTCAAGGCTTACTTCAGCGGTTTATGGGTAAACGCGGTACGTGGTGTTGGTGCTGCCCTCGTTTTGGCCTTTTACAATGAATTTTCGAAGCATTTATAACGTGGATTAATTTACATACAGGTGGTTTTACAAGTACTATACTGTCTGATTTTCTACTTTTATAATATCTTTCGCCGAACTGTTTCAGTTCCGGGTCACTTTTTTCATAAAAAATTGCAGAATTACGAGGATTGCTTCCCTCTATGAATGTGTCAAACTGGAAGAATGTTGTGATTAGATTTAATTTTGTTCAGTTTTAGTGCATTTCTGCAAATGCAGTTGAGTAATATTATTATTCTTTCTTTCAGCTTGCAAGGTTATAGCAACATCGGGCCTCTGTTTGCATCGCTTTTTTGTATTGCAATGCTATTCATATTTTACATCTCAACACTGTATGTATACATCAAGTAAAGTGATAATTCATCCGATTAAAAGTGTCGTGTTTCGTGAAATTATTTGATAACTTTTAATGATTTTGCTGAAATAATGCTCACTGCACTGAAAATACAGCGATAATTTCTGTCATTCGAAGGCAGTGTTCATTTAAAAGGATGAATTATAACACGCCGAGATGGAAAAAAGTTGATCAAGTTATTTGCAACCACTTCATCACTTATAGAGTCTCTAATTTATTCTACTTTTTCGTCATTTTTTTGCTTTCTTTTATAACGGAAACGGCCATTTTTGCCACCTTCTACTTTGCAGTCCGAATCATTTTTATCACTGTCGTTTTCATAATACGATGAGATGCTGCCAAGTACCGAGGAACTAATTGACGACAAGCTGAGTTCCAACAACTCAGTGGTACTGAACGATTCATCGCTGCTATCTGTGTGTTCAGTGCTTCCCTTTATGCTTTCCTTTGAATGATATCCATCCAGATGGTTTTCCTGAATAATAATTTTTTGAAGTCCCCACAGAATCCACCTCTAACTGTTAATTGAAAATTTTATTGGATAGGACTGTTCCTGTTTGCAACTGTGGAGACGGTTTTGATATGATTGTAATTGCTTATAAAATAGAGGTTTTGATTCTAGAAGAAGCTTACGATGCCATCTGCTATGTCACGATAAATCTATGTAGGCACTAGGTGACCTGATTTTCTAAAATTAAATTGAAGGGATAAAATAACAGATTGCCAAGTCCCCACCATAAGCTTCAGTTTTGCTATATATGCTTTTCGGCGTTTTTGCAATTGAGCCATTTCTTTCTTTACGGCTGCAATTTTCTCTTTCAACTCCGTAATTTGTCCTCGAAGAGCATCCTCGCCTGATGCCATATTGAATCGGTTAATTTTTTCTTACTTTACTATATTACACGATCCAAATCGGGAATCGACAAATCCTTTTGCAAATTGAACAAATGATTCCAATTACTGCAACGCACCGGTTACCAAATATTAAAATTTAATGAAAATTAAAGTTTAGGAAATATTTGTGGTGCAAACGATATAATATTTAGCCAAACTATTACAGTTAACCGAAACAAAGTGTAAGGCAGCCACTAACTGTGTTTATTTTTGCGCCAAATGATCTTTCGCAACTGCTTGGTGTCATTTAATACCGTTTTCTGATATTGTTGTAGATTGATTGGATGCAAATTTGCAGCCCCATACCATTTTCAAGCTGAGATCCTGAATATTAAACATATCGATGAATCAACCGATAAACGGTAACGTGTATTTTTTCAGATCTATGCATGAACTTCAAAGTTGAAATAGTTATATAACCATTTAATTGAGGAGTTCTTTACGCTTTTAATATGATGGATGTCTGCATAATAATAAAATATTGTGAGTGGAGATAGATAAACGATTTAACTTCAAACTTAGAAATAGTGTTCAGTGATGTGAAACATCTAAAAACCCAGAAAATGGAGATCGAAAACAGACGGAAAGAACGGCAAGCACAAACATGCGAGGAACTAAAAGGCAACCGATCCCGCAATACTGTCCAATTCTTGAAAGTAAAAATAACGGGCCGCAGTAGCCAGCGCGTGGCAGTAGGTTTTTTCCGAGTGTTACATTCGGCATAGAGGGTGGCAATATGGTATGTTTTTCCCTCGTGGTTGGTTTTGTGGTTGATTTGCCAATCCTACTTATATTCTGCCTATACCTAAGACGGCGGGAAAGAATTTTGTGAAAATGATCTTCTACTAACTCCATTGACAATCTTGCAAACAATTGCGAAATAAGTTTTCCCAAAGAATTGATACAGGAAGTTAGGAAGTTTTTCGAAATAATATTTGGTCCTTCCAGATTTTACGATGTACTTATATCTAGATACTTATGATATGTATGTACGAGAAGAACATGCGGTTAGGTTATTAAGTCAAAACCTTAGCATTTGTTTAACAAATGAATCAATTTTGAGGGAGTTATTTTGATGAAAATTACAAGCGTAAAAGATAATAGTAATGTTGTCGTTCTTGCGTTGCCATTTAATTCGTTAATGAACTGTTTTGCTGTAGCTATGATTGATTTTGGTTATTTAGGAAGTATGCCTTTATCTTTTATCCTGTTTTTATTATATTTGTTTTTATCATTATTTACTCATCTTTATTGACTGTTTTTTTTGTTTACTTTGTCGTTATCTCTTCGTCTTTATCATCTCATTTTTATCTTACTTCACTGTTGCTACCTTTCAGTTATTGTAAGCAATCTATCTTTAGCGAAATCTTGCTAATTGAATCCATTACCTCTTTGTACTTTTTCCCGTATTATTTCGCGGTGTGAATGTTCATTCATTCTATTTCTACTCCTAAGCTAAGCATTACTTTATCGACGAGAAGAAAGCACAAACAAAAGCCTTATATCTCTTGTCTCTTGCAGTCTAGATCTAAGGCTTTGAATATTTCGAAATATCGAATAAAACCAATTAGATAATATAGTTATGAGTTGCGGTGTTACTATCGTTGTTACAAAGTGATATTGCAGACTATGGAGAGTATAGGGGCTTGATGGAGCTTTCTTAATAAAGGGCAGGGAAAGGAAGAATAAGATGTTTAGTGGTTTGTAATAATTTAATTGCTTTATTCGCAAATTTAGTGAATTGTTTTGTTTAGTTATGCCTACTTTTTGTAATTCTCTTTCTTTTCCCTTTTCGCTTTTCTCTCTTCATTTCTCTTTCTATTTTCCTTTGCTATCGTTTTGTGGATTGCAGAAAATATAGTGTGAAAGTCGAATATCATTATTTGTAAAGAACGATAAGAATAAAGAAAGAAATTGTTGTTGGGGTGAAGCCGTGGAAGAACCAACTTGCTGTGATATGGGCAATAATCAGGGTGGACTTAATAAACGAGAGCGTGCCCTCGATGGACAGCAACGTGCGCGACAATGGACGACTGGTAATGGCCCTAGTGGTAGTAGTCCATCAGCTCATTTGATGAGCGCTGGCAATACGACGGAGGATGGATGTCCTGTACAAGTTTGTAAATATTTTATTATGTTATTAGTAGGATTGTCATATCGATAACGATGTATTATCGATTGGTTTCTCTGACTAGCCATATCATGAAATTTCGCCTTTCCTTTTATTAAGCAGATTATGTAGGAAACTTACAGTACTAGGATTATTGTTGATTAGTATTCTACCCACTGCTAATTATTAAATTGTCGTTAATGATTTTAAGTTATGTCCTACTGCTTATTTGAAGAGCAGGAAACTGTTCGATGTATTTGTTGTGATAGGAAAGATCGCTAATTCAGAAGAACATTTTTTTTAATGGCAGGAAGTGCACTGAGTTTCTTCAATTGATTTTCTTAGAAATATTTTAGGTAAAAATTGCAAAAAGTGACGGGTCTATTCCAACACCAAGTATCCAGTTCTCTGAAGCAAATGAATATCCGGTCGTTTTTAAATGGCAAGGAGGAAGTCAGGCTGGGGGAGTTTATATATCTGGTTCTTGGGATGGTTGGAAAAAGATGACACCATTATGCAAATCTACTCACGATTTTTCGACTATCATCAACTTGAATCCGGGTGAGCGCTGAAAAGAAACCACTATGATATAGATTCCATAATTTCTTATTATCTTTTCCAATGTTAACTATCATTAATCACAATTCCTTTAGATGGTAAATCTGACTTCATCTGCATAAGCATATTTCTGACTTATGTTCTAGTGCGGGTAAGGCATAGCAAAAAAATTTCTATTTAAAAACAGTATTGTAAGTCTTTGCGTATTAAAGTCGACTTTTACAGGAAGACATGAATATAAATTTTTTATTGATGGTAAATGGGTGGTTGACGAAAACGCTGCGAAAACCGACAACAAATTTGGTAGTGAAAACAATGTTATCGCAATTGATGAAGCTGATTTTGAAGTATTTCTTTTTAGACTTTATAAAGAAGGTAAAATGGTTTAGATTGATTTAGTGCGAACTTTCCTTCCTTCGATTGGTCAAGAAACCAGACGGTTTCATTTTTCCAGAGACAGAAAGTACATAGCTCGTGCAAGTTTATTGGTTGAGGCAGATTTGAGAAATTTCTTATTGTACATATTTGTTTACCACATTATTAATTTTTCTTTTAAGCCTTACTTTTACGGTCTTGACAAACCATATAAGCATTATGGAAGATATTATGCGAATTTGTTCATTTGTGATATCCTATTAAGTTTTCAATAATTTTTATTTGCATATTTTTAGGTCTTCGATGCACTTGAGCGTGATTTAGCATCATCAAATGCTGGAGAAGCGATGAGGAAGGTAAATATGAGTGGTGCACCACCTTCCTCGCATGACACACCTAATGAGCGCGAAATTGAGAAATTGAAGAACTTTACTCAAGAAATACCAGATCGTAGAGAGTTTGAAAAGGCTCAGAATCCACCGGTTTTACCACCTCATCTTCTGCAGGTACTAGTGTTGAGATTTTTTCAATGACCATATTTTCAAGTATAAAGTGATCTTTATGTAATTCCTTCCTGTTCCTTTTTGTGCAGTAAATTTTTCTTATTCTCTTTTTCTTGTTCTGGATGGTGTTTTTGCCCAGTTCCAGCTGTTCTACTGAGATAGTAGAAGTAAAGATTAATCTTCTTGGGAGATGGAGTTTTCAAGTTCTTAGGCGGTCATTGTCGATCGAAAAAGTAATGTGACAACATAATTTTTTATTTCATCCTTGTGATTTGGTCCTTTTTGGATTTCGTTGTAAATCATATAAAGGCTTCCCAGTCCTGTTCAACTGCTCCTTACCAATTGATGTTAAAACTTATTTTATATCGCGTTATGCTGACCATAATATTATATCCACGTCGTGTAGTAAACAAGTTTATTCGTTTTAATTTTTTGCAGGTGATTCTTAATAAGGACACGCCCATGCAATGTGACCCTAATGTGTTACCGGAACCAAACCACGTAATGCTAAATCATCTTTATGCGTTGTCAATTAAGGATGGTGTTATGGTACTCTCTGCAACACATCGTTATCGAAAGAAATATGTGACAACACTACTTTATAAACCAATTTAACTATAAATGTTTTTCTTTTGTTCCGGTGGATCTAAAATTACGGCCTATTATGCTTTCATTTTTTGCTGTATCACTGCTTCCTTAATATTAGCTTAGTTATTTAAATAATTTAATCTGGGAAGAGTGAATTTTGGCCTTTCAAAGAAAAATGATGTCGACTGTTCCTTCATTTATTGCAGCACCTTTTCATTGGTTTGTTGGAAATTAGGAAATAAAATACTGATGAAATAAGGCGATCGGTATAATTAGAGCACTATGCCGACCGCTTCATTTCCAGACCGAAAAGGCTTAAAGATTGAATTTGAGGGAATGAGCCAGGATACAGTTTGTATAAAAATGCTTGGTTGTTTAATAAATTTGAAGGGGGTACCTTAAAGAAATAGGAATGATTTATTTCTTCATTATTTGATTGGACTATTCCCTTTGTATCATCGAATAGAAGAGTTGTTTCTTACATCTTCCGACTATTTTTTTTTTGTTTACTACCTTATTTTTATGATTGCTATTAAAAAATATATTTGTATAACTTGTATTAATGTTAACAATGTATGTAATATATGATAAACAACACTTATTTTAACGATGTTATTTCATGCATTTAATAATTTCGATTTTGAGTTGAAAACAAGTGTCTTCATACTTCAATTACGTGTGACTTGAAATTTGAGGATTATGAACAGTTTACATTTCCATATGTTTCTTTGCGGTATAGCTTTATGAATTGAAAGATTCGATTTCACCTTTAATAATTTCAAGAATTGGATTTAGTAGCTTCGTGATGGTAGTTTGGTGAAAGAGTATGGAACAGACATGGACATTAGAACGTACATGGAGTGGAGCCGATTTATCAAGTGGATGGTCTTCAGCAGTTTCAGGATACGGATATTGTTGTACGATACAGGTTGGTGTCAGGGCTCATTTGAGGGTGTAGGAATATTTTAAATTTGATTCGGTTTCGAAGTGTTTATTGCCGGCTTATCACCTATTTTGGATGTTCTTTATCTTGCATTTGGCCTAATCATTTTGAATTATTATATTCGAGAAGTTTGTCTACCAATGAAGTGATTGAAAAGGTTTGGTTGCAGATGAGATCACTTTCGATATGATCTCAATTCATCATTATCAATCTGTTATCACATTTTGAATATAAAGGAATCCTAGCTGCTTTATTGTGTCCATAGTCTATGAATTAGAGCTTTTAAACTTTAAAACCTATGACCATCAAATATTTTAATTCTGAGTTTCGGATCCCTACTCGGTCTTAATTGAAATACGACTTCAAAATTTACCGAATATTTTTAATTATATCATTTTTATGGCTATTCTTATACATGATGCCTCCATATCGTTTCAGATTAGTGAAATTGCTTTAAGAAATCCCATCTTATGTTCATTGTCTTTATTTATTAAACTCCGATGTTTTTAGTGTACAAAGAAGAAATCACATGATGAATGGATATTAAGTGTAAATCCGGAAGAGAATTGTGCATATTCATTACTTGTCGATGTAGTACTATCCGTTGGCGCTTTTCATTTCAAGGTTTTTCATTCACATTATTGCAGTATATATTTTGAATGTAACCTTCCTTTGCTTAATATTTTTCTCTACATTTCTAATATTATTTAGTATTTCAATATTTTACCTCACCATCTTGCTGTAATATTCCGCAATTATGCCATTTCATCGTGTTAGCTGTGATATTACTAATTTTATCGCAGTAGTATTTTGTCTTGTTACTTTGTCGTGATATGTTGTAAATGAATAATACTTATCCAACATGTAGTATCTGCAGGTTTATAGAGATTTATGGGATGCATCGAGTATTGTATTGCAAGAAGAAACACGAAGTGGATCAAGAGTTGATGTAACACTGAGGTTACGGATTATCGAAACACTGTCGCCGCAGGATCTTAGTGGGCAGACCCCATACAGAGACTTTGAAATAAGTGTAAGCTTGTACGATGATATAATTATTACAATAAACAGCAACGGAATCATTGAGTACTATAATTTTTTCTGCAGTATTTGCGTTATCTTGAAAGGGGCTAGTTATTCTAGTTAAAAAACCATTTTGATCAATCGAATCGCAATTGTTAATGTGTTATATTTCCATGGAATCTCACTAAATTAGACTAGACTTTCAAATTGATTAGGCATTTGGTTACCAGAAAAAAACAAATTCGTCCCCTTTCTAACAAATCAGTCATAAATTGGTATGGAAATTAATTCTGTTTTCCTTTGTCAAATTAGTGTAAAGGACGATCATGGTTTGTTGATGTGACATATTTGGCATCCATTGGAGGAAAACTGTTCACCGAGTGGAGTGAACAACGATCGAAGGGTATAAAAAAGTACTGGGTAGATGGTATTTCGACTTATGAATTGGATTGTCTCATTGATGCGACATCGAAATATCGACAAATTGTCGTGACGAGGTTTGTTATCACGGCATTTGTGTTTTAGTTGATGGGGTCAATCGCAATCACTTGATTTCGTGGATGCGACTAATTAAGACCACCTGAACATCGCTAGTTGTTTAAGCATTATATTGGTTTTGGATACGTTATAGCTACTGCAACTGGTTGAATTTTGATCGATATTATATAAGAACTCAATAGATTAATTCGGGGTAGATATCTAGGAAATCTGAATTGCTGACTAGATTTAGCTCATGGATTTTCTTCATGTGCTGTAATTCAGTGGATTGGTTTTCCTTGAAGCCATACCCAATTCTGATGAACAGTAATAGATAAAATCTTATTCAAAATTGATAATTTATTATTTAATCAACGGAACTAATCTTTTATGTGAAATATTTGCGACATTGAGAATTGTGTAAAATAAAGGGCAGTAACTGCAGATTGTTTGGTTGATGATAGCCGGAACAAAAAAAGAGTTTTCTTTATTTGGTTTTTCGAAAGAGTTTTTAATTTAATCTTATTTTTATGCTTTAAAGGATGAATTATGATGTTTTGGTTAGTGTTTCATTTCGATATAACATTGGCTCGATATTGCGAACTGTGGAATCATTTCTTATGGATGCTGAATGGATTCATCCAATTCGACGTCTTGAATACGCTGTTTGTTACAAGTATCTATTTTTCTTCGAATTTGTTTTTTTTTTTTGAAATTTTAAAACAAGAAAACTGAGGATTAATAGAATACAGCAAATAAATTTGTTGCGAGTTTGCTTTTTTAAGCAAATATGATTTGAAGCTGCAAAACTAATTTCATGTAATGAGGGCTACATTTTTATCGTTATTTTTAGATTGGCCAGGTTAGGAGATACAATTAGCAGAAAATTAGTATCATCTAATACAGCTATTGAGAAGTTGCACGAATATTTGGCTGAAAATGGTGAAACCTTAGCTCAGGTACGATTTCGTCTGTTTGAGAAATCATTTGCATTTATAATTATGTCCAGGAATTTAATGTTCAGATCATGCTGCAGCAGTTTTGCCTCTACTTTCTAGTGAAAGACTTTTTCATCTTCTCTCCAAAACATTTATAATTATTGTTCAAGCTTCACTTTGATATTTCAGATGCATCCGGATGTACTGATCTCTTTGAATATTCATCCGGATCACGTACTTTCATAGCTGTTCCTTGTGCAAATTAAATTATGCAACGAAATATCTATTTCCAACTTTCTGATCATCTTGAATTTTTTCTTGCATGTGTGTAATTTTTAATTTATTCGAATTTTGTTTCCTTTTTTGAGTTTTTTTGCAGTTGAAATGATCTCAGGAATTATCCTTATTGCTTGAAGTTGCTGTGTTTGGTCACCATACATTTGAAGATTTTAAGTATATTCCCAACCTATGGGGAGAGGTTTCGTGAATCCCAGAACCAAAACTATAATAAACCAAGTATGGGAAACCAATGCATGAAATAAGTCAGTTTGACAAAGGAACAATCGCATGTTTCTTTTTCAATCGACTGGTTCTAAATCCCGGTTGAACTCACCTGAAGTGTTTCGGTTGAAACGAGGAAGCGCACTGCTCGAAGACACCTGCCTCCACTTCCTTTCAAACTGTAAATGTCGAGCGATCTCAATCCTTCCCAGGTATGCACCGGGGACATCTCATTGGGACCTCTTAGACCATTGATTTCGCACTCCTCAGGTTGAGATTACTCGATTGGCCGATTTAACCTCTGTTTTTGGAATGCTAGATTGTTAACTATGTAGTCAGAGCGGTCTTATTTTGTCGAGAATAATCTATTTGCAAGGAACAGTGAGTGGTATACTGAAAGAGTTCGCTCGCTCTCCGTCGCCTCTACTGTTGACTTATAGTCTTTCTTCGTTTTGCTGCACTTGATAGGAACAGGCAGATTGCTGGTTATGGTAGGTGTCCTGCGCAAATATTAGGTCCTTGAGTTTGGAGTTCGGGATATCACCGCTTAACTCTAATTAACCTTTCAACTTGACTGGGGAATCTTTAACATTGCTTGAATTTAATTAGACCAAATGACTGCCCCATTTCTAAATTTCACTTAAAAAATTTTTTGCAAATTATTTAAGTCACAAATAAAGAAATTTCTGAAGCAGTTATTAGTTCATACCACGAATTTACTTACGGTTGTTTCAATGGATATTGTTGCTACATTACTTAGTTCTAATAAGATTACTCGAGTAAAATAGCCTTATCGAATTACTTTTGCATTTGTTGCAAGAAGGGACAAAATTTACAATATTATCATTTGGAAATAGATAGATATCCACCTGTGCACAAAAAATTCTCTTCTCTCGCCTCATCCCCAAAAGATTCTCGTCTCCCTCTCATCCTGTTCCAATCGAAACTTCCAAACTGTTATTTGATTTATTTTTATCAACAAGATTATTTTTATTAAATCCTGAAAACCTCTCTCACTTATTTCATCTTCGAGTGAATTTATTTCAGTCGTTCCGTTTTTTTACCTTCTTTTAAACTTTTAATTGCTCCTTTCTCCTTTATCATCACATAAGCTTATTAAGCTAATTATTGTTTCAAACAACTATCACGATCAATATAGTTTTGTTGGTACTAATATAATCTAAACATCAATCAATGTTCTTCCAATAAACCGGCATGTTTTCGTGGTATCGACAAGCAGTTCCATGCAGTTTATGATTTGTATCGATTCAATGTGAAATGTTGTTCAGTTTATAAGACATGCAAATTAGATGGAACATATTCGAAACTACAAATTAGTTTTTCTAGCCGTTAACTATATACCTATTTCACAATTACTACAATTCAGAATGAATCAAATGAGTGCCTGGCATTGTAATATTTTCAACCGTCCTGCTGTCATTCCAATCGTTCAAATCGGAAGTGAAAATTCTCTTACAGATATCAAATATTACAGACATCAAATTATACAGCAGTATAATAAACTTATATAGCAATGATGCAACAAATCAGCTATCGTGAAACTTTTGATCAGCCTTGTTCGTGGTGAAAAATGAGTTTATTCTTTCTGACCCTATAAGACAATGATCAAAAACTATCAAGAATAGGAATAATTAAACCGCTTGATCTAGGAGCAGTAATTACAGTCTTCCTTTCTGAATTAGATAAGGCTTGATGAGCATTCATTACAGTAAATAAACAAAGAAACTGTTGAAGAACAAAGAATTGCTTGAGTATATAATAGATGAAGCCCATGGTGAAAAGGGAGTTATTACATATTAATCATTTATAGTATTTGTTAGAATAATGAATTAAGATATTAAACAAAGCATATCAATTCATTTGATTGAGAATATTTGTGAATCATTACTTGATCTTAACTTTAGCTTTCTGGAAAATTGACATTTTCATTCATATTTTAGCAAAAGTATTTAAACATCTTCAATCTTTTCTGAAATTACTGATTGATCATAGTAATCCACGATCGTCAAATAACAAATTTGCTGTATTATCGAATTAAATCGTAATCACGCGATTAAAAAAATGTCTTATAATAGTTGAAATGATTTGGTGATAGGCAGTGGGAAGAGTAGAAAAACAAGTCGTTGCATCAAATTTAGATGGATTACTACGATAAATAAGCCTAAGCTTGCAAGAAGTTTTGAAGTTTATTTTTTCTTAACTCCCTACTATATCATTTAATATTTCTCAGCTGAAAAACTTTTCGAAATATAAGATAAAAAGTTATAAGAGAGAAACAGATTTTTTTTGTTTTTTCTGCAACTAATAAATTTTGTTTGCTTTTTTAGATAGCTGACTGTCAATTGTGGTAAAAATATCGGCAACGGAAAAAGGAAAATAATTTAAATATTGCTCTTTGCTTTGCTTATTTCATTGCTACTTACCTTTTTACAGTCGCTTTTCTGTATGATACATGTTATCTGCTATTACTGATTTCATCTATTCCGGAAAAATTTAATAAATTTCGATTCCTAAGTTATTACTACTTCCAAATCGAAATAATTTAATTTCTAGGGATTTCAGTAGGATTTTCAATTGAAATTATTTACATATCTCAAATTTTTCATTTGCTTTATAACTTCAATATAAATAAATGTTCATTTTCCAAAATAGGGTAAACTCATACAAATAGCCCGCCCGTATAATGACAGATGAAAATGAGTGAACATATATTATGAACATAATGCGGATGAATAAATTATCCTTTAATACACTTCATCCGTCTATATATTCAAAAATTTTATGCAGCATGGATGCATGCTACTTTTCATTTGCATGTATTATTTCTGTAAATTTGTAGCTTTCAGTATATCCAATTACATTTCACTAATTTTAACTAATATCATGATTTCAACTTCAAAAAATGCTTCCTCGTCACCATCCATTCCAACAAGCGATAAATATTACAATCCAATGGGAAAAGAATTATCCATCCATAGTGAATGATAAAAAATTGCATGTGACCAATTGAAAAATGCTACTAATGGATTTATTTGTTTTTGCAGATACAAACAAACTAAACTATTTAAGGCAGATTTTTGCAAGAATACAATCAATCATATTTTGCAAATTTCAGTGAATGTCCTATTTTGATGGCATTTTCATTCGTTTACTCTTCTATTTCTCCTATATCTTTTTATATTTTATTGTCTATCATATTTTATATTTAATTATTTTTTATTATAAATTAAATACAGTTATTTATAGGAAAATGAATGATAGTAAAGCATTTATACTACAAGCAAAAGAATTCACATAAATAGAAAGATTCTTTATAAAACTTGTATTTCAAATATGTGAAGGAAATTTTCGAACTACTAATAAGTAAGCATGTCAAATAGGCATAAATAGAAGAGGCACTTAAAATTTAATGAATTAAAATAAAGTTAATTTGATATGTATAATAAAATGCAAGTGAATATTTGAATGTAAAATTAAAAGTTATAAAAATCTACGCATAAGTCTATTCGAATAAAACTAACTGTTGAAATTATTTTATTTATATTATTTCGAATGTAATGCCAACTATTATGCATGCAAAAAATAAGCAAAGAGTGCAGAAAATATCGTTCATTCTTATTGACAGATATTTTCAATTATGGTAATACGATAAAATATATAAGTATTGAAAAAATGATTTATGCAAAAATATTAAAGTTACTAAAAAATGCAAGAAATTCAAAAGCCACGCAATCTATTTTAGCATATCGTATATAATAAATATATGCAAATGTGTTCATTTTTTCTAACATACGTATACGTATGAAACGTTATGCTATTACGGTAAAAATAATGTTATTTTTAGAACTTTATTGATATGTGGTGAAATTTCTACAATATATTGAATTCATAATTCCATTGATATGTCAAATTTTTATAAGTTATATTGGACAGAGAGAACGTCAATTGGGAATTCTGGAGAGAGCTTCACAAAATCTCTTATCAATTCTTGAAATTATTTTGAATTTCCTTATCCATTGTTAAAATGATACCTTGCAAAAATTAATTCAGAGAAAG